TATACACATTCCATATTCAAGAGCATAGAGCTCTTTGGGGCTGGGCCTTGTTGACCTATGCCGCCGTGAGGTCGCCCCGCGCCTACTGAGTGGCGTCGTTTTCCCGCGACGAACCAGACTGGTAGGCGTTGGGGCGATGGTTTGAAGAATTTTGACGCGCCTTGCGCAGTGGGCATCTGTTCCGAAGATGACGGGTGTCTCCACAATTAAAACAACATCGTGTGTTTGTGTGCTGCCCGGCAGCTCGGAGCTCTGCTCCCTCGTCCTCAGCATAGCTGAGATCCATCGGCATAGGCCCGCTCGACAAGCTGTTGGAGTGTGCATTCCAACCAAGTCGTGCCAACTTGAAATTGAATTCGGCATTCAATGCCACATTCACCGCCTCTTCAAACGATGACGGATGCCCACGGAAGACTTCCATTCTGGCCACGCCAGTGCGGAGGCCTTCCGTAAAGACGGTCACTGTGACCGCCTCCGGAAGGGGATCTGCTGCCATCCCGGCAATGAGGGTGCGCATCTCTTGGACAAAGTCCACCAATTCCTTGTTGCCCTGTCGGGCGGAAAGGAAGCGCGATTGTACGCGATATGCCTGATTAAACAGCGAGAACACTCTTGCGAGCTGTAATTTCAGCTCCGCTCAGGAGGGAAATGCATTCGACCGAAGTGCCGCACGTCAGTGCCCATTTTCGAGCTCGACCACCGAGCTTTGAGATGGATAGTTCTACGCGCTGTTGCTCGGTCTGGAGCATAGCGGATGCGATGGCCGTCTTGATCTCTCTCACCCAGAGAGGAGATTCTCTCCATCTCTCCCCTCAAAGACCTTAACACTCACCATGAGCGGCTTAGGACAGGGAAAATCGTCCGTCACCGACGGTGGCGTCATAGACACAAATGATGCAGACATTTTCTGCTGCAGGTGCTCTGTAGCGCGTTTTCGTAACTTGAAAACGCCTCTAGGCGCGCACCGATGGCCTCGGGACCTTGCGCTACAAGGTGTTGCACGCCCTTAGGGCCAAGCAAGGACATCAGCTTGTTAAGCCCGTCCTGCATGCCTTGGGGCAAAAAAAAAATCATCCATCCTCACAGAGGATCACTCTAAACGACTCAGGTGTAGATTGACAACAAGTGCTACCAAGTGCAGCGGGGCTGCCGTAGCTTAGCGGTTAAGGAAGCGTACTTTAGGTCACCGACATTTCGCTCTTTACAAGAACCAATACGAGTGTAGCGGATCGCAATCCGCTACCTCCAAGAGTAGT